ACATATCGACCCAAAAATTCCGGCTTGTTATGTTTAAACATGGCCAAACACTGTTCAGAATCATCAAGACATTCTTGTTTTTTGTCAACAGTGAGCTCGCACGGCACCCACTTTGAACAGAGCTGTCTCATAGTCAAATGCTCAGCATGCCAACACGTTCTTTTGATATCTTTTCAATGTCAGCCAACTACGCAAATTCACTTTTCGATCATCAACACGATTTTATGGATTTGTTTTATGTTTTCTGGTATTACTGTTTCATTTGGACGTCCACTGCATTCTGCATGATCGGTGTCTCTACGACCATGTTTGAAGTCAGCAAACCAACGTTTAATTGTTGTTTCTGATCGAGCAGAGTCCTTATAACACTTTTCAAGCTATTGCTTTGCTTGAACAGTATTTTTCCCATCAAGAAGCAGTGTAAAATCAAAACACGAAATTGTTTTTGATCCAGTGTTTTGAAAATTAAAAAGTAGTGTCACTCAGCACAATAACTCACACTAGAATTTCATGAAATTTCAACAGCTTTCTTTTGAAGGTTATAGTACTAACTGAAAGGTGAATCCAATAAGACTAACACCGTCTATGTGTTGGGCCCGAGACTTTTCAGTCCATGTTGAAGTTTTGCAAAACGTGTTCCACTTACAAACAAACTTGACGTAATTTTTGTGAAAAGTAGTTCACTTGACCGTTCTTGCTGTACATTTTCGATTCTACTATCAATAACCGAATTACATCCCTCTGATTTGATGGTTTGGAATCCACTTTGAATCCTCCAAATAACTGGTGATTTTTTAAGAGGCATAGGATTTGATTTTCGAAAACAACACAAGAAATTAGAAAAAATTTATGAAATCTTTATTGGAATCGATAGAACGATCAATATAATTTTATGTTTGAAGATGATTTCATGCAAATGTTATCCGCGGCTCCGCTTTAGATGGCCCAAGCGCAAGGTCCAATTTTGGCACACTCTAACATATCGACCTGTATTTCACGTATAAATGCTTCAATATTGGCTTCCAGAGCGTCAGTCATTGCTGTTTTATCCCTGTAGACATGAGCATTGACATGACCCCACAAGAAATAATCCAAAGACGTTAAACCACACGATCTAGGCGGCCAATTGACGGGCCCAAAACGTGAGATAAACTGTTCACCGAAGGCGGCTCTTAATTGGGCCATTGTTTCGCGTGCCGTGTGGCGTGTGGCACATTCTTGTTGAAACCACATGTCAGGCATGTCCAATTCTTCCATTTTGAGCAACAAAAAGTCGTCAATCATCACATGGTAGCGCTCGCCACTCACAGTAACGTTCCGGCCATTGTCGTCTTTGAAGAAGTACTGCCCAATGATGCCACCGACCCATAATCCACACCAAACAGTAATTTTTCTTGATGCATCGGTAGCTTGTGGCTGGTTTTCACTCCAGATGCGGCAATTTTACTTTCAACCAGAAGTGAGCCTTGTCGCTGAACACAATTTTTCGATAAAAATGTGGATTTTCCTCCAACTTTGGCAGCGCTCATTCACCAAATGTTAGACGTTGTGGAAGGTCGTGTGGCTTTAATTCTTGCACCAGCTGTATCTTATGAGGTTTTACAACCAAATCATTTCGCAAAATTTTCCACGTAGTGAAGTAACAGGGGTCCAATTGATGCGAACGGTGGGAATCAACATTTCACGATCATCACGAACACTGGCGGATACAGCCGCAATATTTTCTTCGGTTCTCACTCTACGTATGCGTGTTGGTAGTTTACTGTCCAATAATGTAAACTGGGATCGAAATTTAGTCACAAGCTTCCGAATAGTTCCCTGCCCATAGATTGGAAGAAGTGCATGATGCACTTTCTTCACCGAGCATGAATTTTGATAATAAAATTCAATAATTTGCAAGCGTGGTTCATTCGTAAGTCGATTTATGGTTAAATTATAGACCAAAATGATTAAGTTTGACAATGACACAAGACACGATTCACGCGTGATCTGTCAAAAACAGTGTTGCCAAAAAGATACCAACAAAAAAAATCACTCATTATTTTGTGACGATGCAACTAATTGGTGAATTCAAAAAGGTCGCAAATTTGTATTATTATGGAATGTCTATCTTTCATTATTTTACATCCATATATCTTCGTTTTCTTGAGACATAGTCATTTTGCGTATAGGTATTTTTAACTAAGCTGACATTATATTTCATTTCAATGTATGAGTCTGATTATTGATTTATTACATAAATTATAATTTGACTAATATTATTGAAAAATTAAATCACCAATTACGAAACATCTGAAACCATTAGCTTTTTCACAGCATCTTGTGTCAAACATTTTTTTACGAACCAAGATGGAGTCACTAGAAGTTAAACTTGGTTAGTAAAAGAGTTTTGGAGTTCTGGTGTGGTTATTTTGGATTTATTCTACGCCAGACGCTCCAGTTCTAACTTTGAAAGGTTGGAACTGTAAATGCGTTCAATTTATAATATGAGATGGGATTTCCCACTGAGAAACTTTCAAAAAATCCCCAGGTTCACAGAATGCCAATGACGTAATATAAAAGTAAACTATTGACTCCATTTGAATACCTACCCAAAATGTAAATATGATAAAGTGAAACCTTTTAAACTTGTTTGCATACCCAAATCGATTGATCGCCAAGAACAATAGCCTCGTTCAATAAAAAAACAAAGATTCAACTTCAGGAACATGACCTTGGTGTCAATCAACTTTTTTTTCTAAGAATTAAATTAATATATTCACAAACTAACATGCCTGAATGTGATGGTGAATTTTTATTACATTAATACTGGTTGACGGTTATTTATAATTCATGGGAGTTGTATTTTTAGGTAGGCGAGTTACCGGTGAATAAACAATTATACAGGCCGTTTTTTTAGCTACTCCCACTATTGCTATTTCGGAAACGGTATGAGGTCGGTTAATGTTTTTTTTGTATATTTCAATGTTTATACAAAAGTAATTGTTTAGAAACGGCTTTTTCTTCCAGTTTGTGTCTGAAAGTTACATCTTTGCATTATTCTCACTTTGTCAACAGTTTGATTTGAAATTGATTGCTTTCTCCCTTTCTTGGGAAGATTCTTACATTTTCTTTTGTATAGAGATGGATAAGTAGAGGGCCAAAACCTTTTTTTACCAAAAGATAATTTCTCCTAAAAATATACAAAATTACAAAATTTTGACGATTTCTTATAACTATTATCATGAAAAGTTCCAATCATTCACTTCATGCGCAGACAAAATTTATAAATACGAAAAAATGGCACGCTCCTCCATAAACAAAACTCCCTTAGCACTTTATTAAAAACCATGTGGAGGCGAAGTACCATTACAACCACATTTAAAAGTTAAAAATCTTCCATAAATACTAAAAAATGTAGATATGTAGATATCTTATGATATCACTTTTGTAGATTCTGATAATTATGGGAACTTTTAGCGTTTGTTATTGTTGAGAGTTCGGTTTTTTTAAGGACAAAACACAAGCACTAAAGAATCCTTAAGACGCTCACGTTGGAGATTAAATTCATTTCGGAAAAACGTCCTTAGAAAGTGTTTTTCACATAAACGCAGTTCTCCAGATGAAAGAGTTTTTAAATAGTGAAGTTCGAGGTGTACTGAGTTGAACCTTAATTGATAATAATGACCTAGCACTCCATTTTCCCAGATTTATCAAAGGCATATGATTCGTTGTAAATAGTAACAAAGAGTAACAATCACACAGGGTGGAGTTTCAAAAATATCAGATTTATTGATTAATACAACAGGAATTGCACAGGGTAGTGTTATAGGACCGATTTTGTTCATAATTTACTTGAATGATTTATGCACCATTGCCAAGAACGCTGTGGAAACTGTAGTAAATTATGCAGATGACACAAATTTAATAATTGGTGCAGAATAAAACGATGACCTTATGAGCCAGGTACGAAGAATTGGTTCGATAAAAATAAATTACTGTTGAATGCAAATAAAACAAATTTGGTGATTTTTAGTACCGACAGGTGTAGAAAAGAGAAATCAGTGACTATAAATTGGCAGGGCGTTGAAACAAAAATCAATGAATACACAAAATTTTTAGCAGTATATACAGATAATTTCCTGAAATGAAGTAAGCAATCAGAGTACGTTTATCAAAAATTGAACAAGGTAGTTTATGTAATCAGAACGACATCAAAATACATGAATGAAAAAACTGTAAAAAGTCTGTACCATACAAATTTTCAGTCAGTGTTTAGATATGGAATTATATTTTGGGGAACAGAACAGAATCTACAAAAAATAAGTATTCATTGCATGAAAAAGAGTTTTGAGAACTATCTATAAAATGCCCTTCAGATAATCCTCCAGAGGTTTATTCAAAGAAACACACGTTTTAACAGCCCCTGCACTATATCTATTAGAATGTTAAACATTTTTACAAAAGCACAAGGAGGTTTTCACAGAAAATTACATTAATCCAAACTACAATGCACAAACACTCAATATATTAACTTCCCTATAAACAGACTCTCACAGATTACTTAATAAATTACCGAAAAATCTCAAGTCTATCAGGATGTATAGGGTCTTCAAGAATAAGGTGTAGGTAGAAGCTTCTATTGAATCTGGAACCATATAAATGAAAATAATATTTTGAACCAAATCTCTAAAATTATTGGTTTTATTTGACGTTTTTTCTTTCAATGTTTGTATGTATCATATATATGTATATAGTGTGCTGTATATATATATAAATGTTCATATGAAATGAAGACTATATTATTATTACATTCATAATATTGTTAGTTTTGTAATGTATAAACTAGGCTTAAAGTGCAAGCAATAACGTTAAGCAAAACTTCGCCAATTTATACTTTTTCGATGAATTATCGTAATAATTTTTTTCCAAGTTATTTATTTTATTATTATTTTTTATGTAACTGAGTGTAATACACAGCACGTTAGTCAGTTCGTTTGCAATATTTGTTTTTGTTTCAGTTTTCTTCCGGCTCAGAGCTCGGGATCCACACTGAAGCAGGCACCACAGGTAGAACGATGATATTGACATTACTCATAATAATTTTCCTTGGGGGGTCAAGAACGCTTTTTCTTCAAACAGGATCGGTTGTATTACTCTGACTGACGGAAATCAAATTCAATTCGATATATTCAATTCAGAAAGGTTTTGAGAAATCGACAACATGTGCTGAAATTTGTGTTTCTTAGTAAAATAGTAATTACATACATTTTTTTGGTGTGTATACGAAACAGAGATGGTCAGAACAGAATAGAAATATATAACCTAGAACAAATATAACTTGGTATTGAGTATTTCTACTTGTAATATATCTATCTATCTAAGCAATGAAGCGCCATCGCCGAGAACGCGACCCAAACGCGGGCAGACGCATGAGGGCAGACGTCGTAGAGGGTCGCTGTGTTAGTTTTGCGAATTTCTTTATAGGCAACATAATTCATTACTTAGTGCAGTTGGCACATTTTTTTAGTTACTGCATTTTTAAAGTGAAATTTAAGTTTCTAGCTGTTACCCGCTTTTATATTAACGTACACCTGAAACTACTGAACCTAGAATCTTGAAATATGCAGGTAGGTTCTTTGTATAGCGTAAATAAACATCAAGAAAGACACCATCCCCAAGGGGGAAATATAGTGGTTCAAAGATAGTATTGAATTTCGTCAGTTTTGAAATTGGAAGCCTGAAGTTTTGGGTTCATAAAAAATATTGTAACTATTTGTTTAAAATGGTCTGTCACGAAACTTAATGTGACAAACAAATTGTTGCCCCGACTAAGCCGCGGACAACAACTAGTACATAATAAATGGAATCCGTTAACAAACACACGAAATTACAATTAATCCCACTTCTTTTGGTGAATAATAGGAGTGGGATGAGGACCGCCGGGAAACTGCGAGCGACAGCACACCAACTACTTGGGGTCTACTGAAACTACTCAGTACCGACCTGGCTTCTAGGTACTTCCCTGAGGTGTGGAAGCAGACAAAGTGGATAGATATCAAAGAAGAAACGTTAATCTTAGATCGATCAGTGAAAGGGAGTTGAAATTCTCGCCGAACCAATTTGGTTTTAAAATTGGAGGTGGACACTATAATGACAGTGGATAAAATGTTGAAGAGAATTAATAAAACTGAGAGGGAGAGAGGGTAGGCTCAGGCTCAGTCGTGACGGTTGACCTGTCAAACAATAGGATGAATATGCCGGAAAACGAACGGGCAGCTGAGGAGATGGATCGATCAGAATATTAGACTTCACACATTGGAGAGAATGTGTTGATTTATGAGCGATAGGCCAAATCTGTGTCAGTGTAAGTATGGGGGAGTAGGACGAAGGAAAACAGGGTACACAGATAACTCAGTGTGGCGCAGATGCCCTTCCTGGTTGCCTATTGTTGAATATACAGGTCGACGCTGGCGGCGGTACTGAGGTATGCCTTTCCCTCTATCTTGAGGTGCTGGTCAGGAATCGTGACTTGGTGATGAAAGATTGTGTGATAAAGATTTGAACGAGAATGAAGGGGCTTGAGGAAGTTCTCTTCTGGAAGCAATGTATGTTGCTGAAGGACGGAATGACTGAGTAATGACGAAATGATAGAATGCCCAGAGAGAGCAGTGTCAATGAGTCAGCATAAGTGTTGATGGTGATGGTAATTGGCATGTGGAGTTCGGATTACGGTGTGAAAGTTATTAGTGATTCTGCTAAGTGTCTGGACTGAACTTTTTTAGATTGTGCAACCTACGACTACATGGATGATTGTTTTATTTTGTGTTCGGCTTTGATGTAATTGGTCGCAACGGTTTGTTTATAACCAAAGCAGCTACATGTGATTTACATGTGAACACTCAACATGTATATGTGGTTTATTTTTTGTTTTTAAAGCTGGGAAAACATTCTCTTTGGGAAGTTGCAGTCGTGGCTTTTGGTTGCAGAGTTACAGAAACGTTTTCACTCATTGCCTTTCTCACAGACCAGAATTAGCGAGATACATTCAGAGATTTATTGATCTTGTACCTTCATTTGGCTTTCTTCATTTCTTTGGATATGGAGTCTGGACAAGTCTCGATAACATAAGTTTCGTGTTTCTACATATTGTTTCTGATTTATCACTATAAGAAAACATATTTTGTACAGCCTTTGTTTACCTTGTGTTTCTTGTTCTTGATGCATTTTACACGAGCGAAGCCGCCAGAATGCCGATCAGAATGAATAGTTTATTATAAGAAGTGACAAGTTGGATAAATTCATAACTGAATTTTTATTCCTGGATAAATTTAGAAATTTTCCTGTCATATTTGATCGATTCCAAAAAGTTTTTTGATTCCAGAGAAGTGAGAAACCATGAATGGGAGAAATAGATTTTGTTTCGTTAATTTTCAATAAATTTATCTACGTCGCATTCATTTCTAGTTTGATTTTGTAAAGCTGCCAATGAAACCAATGAAAAATCACTTTCAATAAGCAAGGAAATCAAGAGACGACAAATCTGGTGACATGGTCCAGCATAAGACCAGTAGATTGATTGGCATCACAGAATTGCACAATTTCTGAGCAAAGCGGCTTTGGCTCTAAGGCTTAAGATTTCTGCTTGCATTTTTTGATGGCGTTACTTTATTTTTATTATGAAAAATCTGTAATATGATTGTAACTATGTTTTTGCCAGCAATTTTTCAGTTGAAACACTGGCTGTACAAATAAATTAATCTTGATATTATGACTGAAGGACACTCAATTTTTCATAAAGATAAACAATAATAGTAGTATCACATTTATGTAATATTCCGTAAAAAGAAAAAAAAGGAAATACATACATGCGTATGATTTCAATTTTGTATTGCAGAACCTGACGCCCCTGGAGAAGTCATTGTATGGTTTCGAAACGAAACGAATCTGGTTATCTTGTGGAAGCCTCCCCACCCTACAACCATTTTCACCCAGTATAAAGTATCTATAGCTCCTCCAGATGCGAAAAACAGCATACTTTATGTCGAGAAAAGTGACGAGCCGCTTGGTCCGGGTGTTGCAGCTTTCAAAGATCTAGTTCCTGGTAGAGTTTACAATATTTCCATTGAAACCGTGTCAGGAGATAAGATTTCAAGGCCAACTACTGTCCAGTTTAGAACTGTTCCTTCGAAACCTCAGAACATTTCGTTCGATGCGATTTCGACACAGTCTTTTGTTGTTCATTGGGAAGCACCTAGTGAAGAGAGGTAAGGATTTGCTTACAGTTTCAATTAGAAAGTATTAGTGACTTCAGTCGTGTTCGGGTGATGACTCGCCCATTCCTAATAATTGAAAAATATTTCTACGTCAACTGAGATCTTTCTCCTCTCTCTTCGGTTCAGTGCACCGTTGCCCGTTTTCCCGGACGATTGAAGGTTTCCATACGTTGCGGATCTCCACACTAACATAGTTGAATGCGTCGTTATTCAATGTGCTCACAGCTTCTTTGAACTTTCTTTCAAATCAGTGGTTCTCCCCATCGCTAATGTCGGCTTTAAACCACACGAACCAATCACCAATTACAATTCTTGAAGTCGTTGCTTTGGTTTTTGTGAAACTTCTACGAATGGTGATTCCGGATATATACTAAAACTCAAATCTTTTTATTTTCTCTGACAGTCATCTGACACAGGCGAAGAATAACGCTGGTGGTGACTTTTCCTCTTTCTTGCTGGGCTCTTGATGTCTTCAGACTAGGATCTGTTTCGCCCCTTTTTCGGAGCAATCTATCAATCCAAAAGACTGGTGGAACAAACCCTGGCCAGAAGATAACAAAAGCCCCGCAAGGAAGAGAAGCCATCACAATGGTTAGGTTAGGCTAGGTTAAAAGTGAGTGGGTCTATTCGACTCTCCACCGCAACTCGCAAGGGTTTTGAGGCTCACGTCTATTCACACTCGATCAAATAAACCCAGCTTCTCAACGAAGCCGATTAGTTTATATCGTGAGTGATCTTTCAGGTTAGATGGTAAGCGTGCGGCTAGGCCAAACACAAAGTATGTGCTCTGTTGTTTCATTATTTTCCAAACAGAAGCGACACACACTGTCTTCCGACAGTCTGAGTCTCTGTATATGATTCTTCAGACGACAGTGACCTGTGAGATGGCCTATAAGACATCGTAGTTCGTCCCTACTGTAGTCCTACAACTGTTTGGTTTGAAGCTTCGAAGGGTGAATGAACGCCTTGGAGTGAGCCAATTCTGGAAGATTTTGCCAGAATGACAGCTTCTGGTCCAATGAATCTGCTTGCAGCACCCTCCTTTGCAAGAAAGTCAGCAGCCTCATTGCCTTCCTGGCCAGTATGTTAAGGCTTCCTAATGAGGAGATTCATTTTTGTTACCAATTTAAACGTTGCTCGGTAGGAGCCAAGATCTTCCAACGCCGCTTGACTGTCCGAGAATATTTTTATTGGCTTGAGCATCAATACTATCCCACAATAGTACTATTCCTTCCTTGGCATTATCGAAAAATAAAGAAAAAATTGGTTCTAAGTACAATATTAGAACCTACCTCAGATCCGGGACCGCCATGCACAGCAGTCTTACAAACACCAAGCCACCAAACGCGTTTGAAAGGAAGTTCGGTACATGGTGCAACGACACATTTAGCCATTCTAATATAGAAACCTTTAATCAATCGTAAAAATGGACATTGAATTGAAAAATAAAGAAAAAGAAAGATAACACTCAATTGACCTTTGAATAATCTCGAAGTGTAGGTGAGTCACCACCCAATTTAAACGTCGTGGCAAACGTCGTGAAGTAGATTGATACGAAATCTTTCTATTTTATCATCGGTAGCTTCTCTTCCGAGAAGCTACGGTGTTGAGCAAAACACGTCTAGAATTGAAAAAATGTTTGTGTATATCGTTTAATCAATATCAATTATTCTTCTTACACCATTATGAAATTTACTCTAGAGACAATTAACTTCAGTTGACACGAAATAATTAGAATATCAACAAAAACTATAAGGAGATCCTTTGCTGTTTGACAAATTAGTATATTCGTATCTATTTCAAGACCACTAAGTAAAGATTTTTGATAGGGCATGAAGTAATTTATTAATGAGAATGCGGTAATTCTGATGAAATTTATAAGGAAAGTGTGAATGGTAATATGCGTTTTTTATCGTTTTCAGCGACTTTGATAAATACCAAATATCTTTGGGTAATGGGCTACCTCCAGTGACAGTATCAAAAGAAGATCCAACTTTCTGGGAATTCAAAGATAACTTGGAACCTGGAAAAACATATTCCGTTGTTATTAAAACAGTTTCCGGAAGAGTAGTCTCATTGCCTGTGACCAGTGATGTCACTCTCAGTAAGCTTTAGACTGGTTTTCGAAAACAAATTATATACATGAACTTATTTCTTACAGAATCTCTTCCTGTATAACTCCTCAAATCGAAATCCGACGAGAAAACTGGTGTGTGCACTTTTAAGTATCAACTACTGTTGTATCTATGAGAAGTGCTACGCTGGATATAAATGCAAGCTTTATTCTTGATACATATAAAAGTCGATAACAAATACAAAATTGATTAAAAAATACAAAAAGATGGAAGGTTCATGGTATAGGCCAGCCGCTAAAATAGGAGGTAACTACATACTACCACGGTCAACATCCAGGAATTCACCAATACTGTAGAATGGCTGCCCCTTTGGTAATCCTGAAGAGTTCCTTTGAAGTGTTCAGTCAGTATCTGCAACTGGCAATATTTTGAACAAAGTCATAATGAAATATTCTGGCTATTCTTTATTTGTGTTAAACTGTAGTAGAAAGTAGTTACATTTGCTTATTGTTTTGTATTGTGGTTGTAGGTTAGGTTAGGTTGGGAACTTAATTATATACTTTGTGTTCTTTAAAAATGCATTATTCTTCATGACCAACTGTTTTTCTCTTTTACTCGTTTTTGTTTCGTTACTAACTGAATCATTTGATTTCAACCAGTCCTTCTATTTCCGCTCATCATGCTTAGGTATTGGTATTTTTCGAACCCGACTTAAAATGTGATGTTAACATAAATGCATATTTCGAGAGATCATTGGGTAATAGTAGATCATTGATCTCAATCAAGATTAGCAATGGACCAAGTATTGAGCCTTGAGGTAGGCCAGCAGTAATTTTTTTTAAAAAAAGCTCATTTGAAGCGATACTGGTTTAGTTTTTCTATAGGATGCTGTGTGATACGCAATCCAATGGTTTGCTCACAGCAACAAATATTGAATTGGTGTATTTGGCTTAATCAAAAGTCTCTAGGATTTATGCTACATAAGCTTTGATTGTGTATCTACTTGGTACTTTTATTACCACCCCAGATCAGCAAAAGGGTCCGCAGATTAATTTCAAATTCAGCTTTGAACGAAATTATAAAAGTTGTGGTTATTGAGAATTATTCTGAAATGCAATGTATGAGTAATAAGGGAAGAGAATGAGAAAATGGTAGAAAAAGAAATAAATAGGCTAGAACATATTTCTTGAAATAAAATCTCGAAATATTCGTCTTTTTCAACTACCTACACGGTAGGTTCTGATTGGCAGATGGCCATGCTAAAATTTTTCGAGTAGATCACCTACAGACCGATTTCGGGGTATTCCCCTCATCAGTGCAGAAAAGATTCGGGCCAAACAGCAAAGTGCTGGTAACTGCTCCATCTGGTGAACAAAGCACCAAGCGAGATTTTATTTCGAAATATTAATTATATTCACCGATTGGGGCTTTGTTCACGAGATGGAGCTGTTATAACTTAACATCTTTCTGTTAATTGAGTTCCAAGCGCTTTGCTATTTGGGTCGGATCTTTCCCACAGCATGGTCCTACTGCTGCATAAACGAGGAACATCTGCGAGACTAACCTCTGAGGTATCTTTCAGAAATGTCTGTCAGATATAATTCAATATCCAGCGTGGTGTTAGCCGAGGAAGTAGTTGTTTTCCGACAGACATTTACCAAAACCTACGGTGCAGTTAGAAACAATCTGATTCAACTTGGAGACTCATGTTCGTTTCATGGATAAATATATAAGGTTGGGTCGTACTATTGAAGTTGATCCCTTAATGAATTATGTATTCAAACAGTTTTATTTAATACATAACGGAGTTTTGTAATCAACTGTCTTTGATGGCTCTGCTAGAAGTAATACAATGCTGTATTGAAGATTAGTCAACACATGGAGGATGCCATTTTTTATCTTGATTCGCCCTACATGTACTTTGTGTCCTAATTACAGGCATAGAAAACTGTAAAAGGCAAGTATTGGTAATGATTATCATAGTGAGTTGCAACGATTGTTAAGAAGAGTAGAATCACAAATTATTACTTACCGGCATTTTATTATGCTACATCAAGACGCCTACAACAGACAGGAGAAAAAACCGTAGCTAAGGAACATTTTTATGTGAGTTAAACCTGCACTGAAAAGCCTCGACCCTAAGAAAAAAAACGCGTTTTTTTTTTGTTCAAAATTTGCTTTATTCATCAAGAGCCACACAATACCAGTTTTGTAGAACGATTCTTCTTTTGCCTCAAAGTGGGCCTCAGTTTCATCAATAACCGCTTCATTCGAGCAAAATTTCTTACCGGTGAGCATTTTTTTGAGGTCTGCGAACAGCCAGTAGTCGCTAGGAGCTAAATCTGGCGAGTACGGTGGATATGGGAGCAATTCGAAGTTCAATTCATGTAGTTTTGCCATTGTTTTGATTGACTTGTAACACTGTGCTTTGTCTTGATGAAACATCACTTTCTTTTTCTTCAAATGGGGTCGTTTTTCCGCAATTTCGGCCTTCAAATACTCCAATAACGCTATATAATATTCACTGTTGATGATATTTCCCTTCTCCAAATAGTCGATGAATATTACACCACGCACATCACAGAATACCAAGACCATAACTTTTCCAGCCGATTGTTGTGCTTTCGGGCGCTTTGGAAAAGGTTCACCAGCTGCTATTTACTCAGATGACGATCGTTTTGATTCCGGAGTGTGGTGATGGATCCATGTTTCATCCATTGTCACATATCGACCCAAAAATTCCGGTTTGTTATGTTTAAACATGGCCAAACACTTCTCAGAAATCAAGATGTTCTTTTTTTTAGTGAACAGAGCTTTCTCATAGTCAAATGCTCAAGCAGCACGTTCTTTTGATACCTTTACAATGTCAACTAACTCTCTAGCGTCATCTATGTGTTATGCCCGAGAGTTTTCAGCCCATGAAGTATGTTATATTGTTATAATCGATCTATAGCAACTCTTGTTAATTTTCAGCAGTAAGCCTTCAGGAGAGGATAAGTCAACACATTGGAAAATCTAACTATTACGTAACTTTGACTAAATTATTTATTTTAAATTACATTTTTTATGTCAATTGACTGCTTAAATATATAACAATAATATATAATTACGATATTCCTTAATTTGAATAATTTCAATGGAAATTAATAGGAATATGCCACTCTTGTTCAAATGATCGATTTTGTTTCTGAGCCTTAGATCTGTTCCAGGACATTCGATTGTTTTTCTAACTTAGACTATCAACTTAATGATTCATTTACATCATTTTGACACCAACACTTTATCTCCAACGGAAACGAATCCAGTTTTTCTAACTTCCAGTCCTATACCCATTACCGGTAAGGGAAATGGTCCATTGCTTATGTGGTATCTGTAAAAAATATAATAAAAGAAAAAGCATGAATTCATTGTTGTAAGTTATTCAAACTGTGGAAATCGTGGAAGTTGATGCGCAAGATAATGAATCATCAAGACTTACGTTTCCAAAGTTTCTAGAGGCTCCCTTTCAGAATTTTTGGCACCGCTGTCTGGATCAATGGTTGTCATGATACATCTGGTACACTCCTTGACGTTTCTCAGAACAACATCTCCAATTTTCACCCATTGCCACGTCTCTTCTTCGTAAGGCTGGATGGAAGGGCCGTCAACTACGAAATTTGGTCGGAAATTATTTACAGTAACATTCGAATTGGTGAGTTTTGTATTCAAGTCGTTGACCGAGGCTTGGTTTATCAAGTTCGTACTTGTCAAGTCAGAATACAGCCCCTAAAATTGAAATGCAACTGTCAAAAAATTATAGTATAGTATGGGAGTGAAGCAGTGGTTTTTATCGAAAATTTTTGTCGCAATCATTAATTCCAAAACTTTGAACTGAATATAAATATCGAGAAAAATATTTCCATCCAAAAATCATCCACTTGTCAACTTGAAACTGTAATCGTGGCAGCATCGAAAGTTATGGCAGTATAAATTTTTAGTTATATAAAATTTTTTGTACAACTATCATTAAAAGTTACATTTTTAACGGTTGTCAAGAGTATTAGATAAAATATCGTACAAAAAGTATTTTAATACGTTATTTTTCGACCAAATGGCAAGAAACAAAACGATTATTCTTTCAGCAATAGTTTTTTTATAAGAAATAGATTGATCGATGTTACTTTCAGCTACTGTTGTAGACTTCCATCCTCCGTGCTATCCGTTATATTTGCTCCTGATTCTGCTAGCAAAGAAGCAGAATACTTTCTGAAACAGTGACCTGTATACTCCTTTGGTTCCGGGAGGTTCACAAACTCAGCAATGGTAGAGGGCATTTTCCCAAACGTGTTTACTCCAACTGGGTTGGCACTACATTTATTATTTGAGTATTTCAGAAAAAAAAGTTGATGATTGATAACAGAAGGGCGTAATGCAACGTATTTATTAAAATAGTCAATGTTTTCCCAACCATGCAAAAATAACGACCTATTTTCGTGTTTGTATTTGGAATTTGAACAATCAATAATTTATCCATTAATTTAATGTATTCTATTAATAAATGGCATAGCTCTTCACGCCGGCAGGCTCCGTATATTCCGAAAATAGTAGCAACTTTTATCATCATTTATAAACCTCTAGACTTGTAAGAGTGCTTGATTTTTTGGGCCTATAACTTTTATTCATTCCGCTTTAAGAATACTATTAATTTGAAATATTTGCTTGTTGAAACAATATTTTTAACGAAAGCACTCGACTTTATCATTGGAAACGTGCTCCAAAAAGTTGACGAGTTCCATATTTTTGATTTCTCTTCTAGTTAGGCTGAGAAGACGCTTTCGCTAAAATTTCTTTCGAAGTTTTCAAATCTACACCAGCTAAGAAAATTTGAATATGCGATATCGTACTGCTGAGCCGATTTTTATTGTAATAATTCAATTGATGCTCTTTTTGCAGCCTCTTCACTATCGTCAGGAATACACAATTCCTCACTATTGTTCTTCATTATACAAGACATTGAACACCAGCAAGAACTTTAAAAGTGACTTTAAATAAAACGCGTGAGCTGTAAACAATACTGATTGTTGGTAACCAGGTGATTTGGCGTCACCTGACACGGCTACTTCACAGCAAATGTGATAACATAAAATAGTTAACTGACAAGACATGTCAAAATTTGTTTTTATAGAAATATTAAATTATTCTATTTTAGTATGAACACAGGACAGTTGTACAAAAAACTGTATGATATTTGTGTTGAAAGTAAGTTTCATTTTTTCACTCATAAAATAAAACCTTACTTTTAACACTCATATCATAAATAGCTATTTGGCAATCGAAATATTTTGGGTAGATTTCCGATAGTCTCCTCGAGGATTTTGTTGCATTGAAAAAATTATGGTATTCCGCACGCCGAAGGATTTCAGTCATCAGAAATGTTTGTAAGGGAGTTGAGAAAGTAGAAAATCTGACAACACCGCTCGCGTTTGCTCCTTCTCCCCTACATATGATTTTCCCTACGTCAGAAAGTGTAGCCATGAAATTGTGGCTAACTTCATATTAATTCAACATCCTGACCTATGGATGAGACATACTGGATTTTTATTAAAATATTGTATTAACGAATTTTAATGCATACAATATACAGTCCTCAAAACAATTAAAGGATTACTTCTTTATGAGCTTGTAAAGTTAAGAAACTTACTAATGGTTATATTATTTTGAAAATCAATGCAAATGGCTACCAAATCCATACTAAATTATTGAATAATTGTTTGTTGTGAATTGGGTATATGTGAGAAAATTAAAAAACTACCAAAATCAAAATGAAAACCCTTTAATTATTGAAATCAAAAGTAAACAAAAAGTTGTTTTTGTGTTACAATTATGGCTCAGTATCTTGTGTTTCCTCCGCGGACAGAAATCACAGGTCGGATTCGCCGGGGCATGGTTTTTATGAGCCTTCTGAGGTTTTCTTGATGCAAACGCTTCCACTTTTTTTGACAAGCGATTTCCATCTCATCCAAAATGGTGAGTTGACGGCTTCAATGCTTCTTCCCATTAGATCCCAGACGCGTTCGATGGGATTCATGTCCGGGCTGCAAGCGGGCCACCCCAAAGCGGTGATATTGTGGGCTTGTAGGTACTGACGTATGATCCCCGCAGCCTGAGGACAGACTCCATCGTGCATAAAAATGAAATTGTGTTCTCCTGCTTCTGCTCTGTAACGTATCTGGACATCCAACACCTCATTAACGTATCTTTGACCTTGCGAATGACTACAAGGTCTGTACGATCACTGAGTGCTATTCCACCACAAACCTTATTGATCCACCTCCAAATGGGACCTCTGAAGATAAGCAGCAGGAAGTAAACGTTCATTTCTACTTCTGTATACTCCAGCCCGACCATCATTACCAAAAAGAGTAAATTTAGACTTATCAGAAAAGAGTACTTTACGCCAATGCTTTAGCTGCCAACGTCTGTGTCCAAGCGAACTGCATTCTTTATCTTTTGTGACGTGCTGTATGCCGAGGTACCTGGACTGTTAGTCTAGATCTAGATCTCAATACCGTTTTTCGAAGTCGATTTCGCACAGTCTAATCGGAAATTTGAGTCCCCGTGGCTCGACTTAGCTCATTTTATAGATCCCTGGCTGTTAAAAATCTGCATCTGAGGGCACTTAGAGGTAAATACCTGTCCTCTTGGGCTGAAGCAGTGGACCTCCCCCTTGACCTGGCCTCCTATGGACAGTTTCCAGTTGTTGGTAGCGGTTCCACAGTTTTGAAACCACTGATTCATTTACACTTGACCTTTGACCCACCTGACGTTTAGAAACACCACCTTCAAACCATGTGACAGCCCTACTGACATCATTGTGAGAAAGAAATCTTCTAACACCTGTCATGTTACAGGAAAATCCTTAAGACGCTCTCAGAGCGGTGCCTGTGCGAAAGTAGCGATTCACATTGGCTTTGAATCGCTAGAGATTGAATCCATTTGCAAAAACGTTCTCAGGAAGGTTATTCCACATAAACGCCGTTCTCCAAGTGAAAGGGTTCTTGAACAGTGAAGTTGAACCTCAAAACGATGAGCAGCCACAGTCCGTCGCGTATTTCTGATATGTACCGCCCTTGATGGAATCGAATGTGCCGAGTCACTTGAACACTTCCTGGATAGAATCCAGCAACTTCAGGGTATTTTTTGGGGCAGAGTTCCATACATGAAAACTATACTCCAAAGAAGGTCTGATCTGAGCTTCATAAAGCTCCAAAAGTTGCTAAGGTGTATATAATTTTCTGCTTCGGAACAGTGTTCCAAGATATGTAACCTCCTGCTGCTGGTGAAGATGTGCCTCCGTAGCCGATATCCTAGAATCCAAATGGAATGACGAGACAAGTGTGCTGTCGTCAACAAAGCAATATATTGGATTCTTGGTTTTTTCCAATAAGTCGTTTATATACAATAAAAAGAGGTTTGTAGACAATATGGATCCCTGGGGAACACCAGCGTTGATGGTGAAAGTATTCGAGAGATATCCATCGACGGCCACTTGCAGGGAACGTTCTTTTAGTCATAGCCATAGCATGGAAGTTTGGCTAGCAAGCCCTCATGCCACAAAAAGATAAGAATTATCTATACTTATCCAAAGCCAAGAGACAAAAACAACCTCTGTTATTTCTTATCAAAGTTGTCCACTATCAAAAGTTAGGTTAGGTTAGTCAGGTCATAAAACTTATGCTTCTACACGATCATTAGAAAGTAGTCATCCTTTAATTGCTTTGAGGAGTGTATATACCACATCAATGAAAATCTACTCATTATATTACTCACAGTAGAGTCATTTGTGAGGTTCTTATAAAAATCAAGTAATGTTTTGTGGGTTTTCGTTAGGTCCCTTCGGTAACTGCCATCGTGGTAACCAAGACGTAATCCTGTGTCTTTCTCCAGAATATATCTCGAAAACCACAGAGCTGCTTCATCTCCACAATCGATAGCTTGCAGTTTTTCTCCTTTGTGGAGCCTAAAATGTATACAAATTAGCAGATTGGACTTAAGTCTGTTACAATGAAAAAACCAACGTGATCGTGATTTCATTTGATTCGTTTTTGGTGGGTATTTCGACATACAAAGTTCTCATAGTGGCGGCATCTACAGCCAAATGGTTTTCATCATGGACCCCAACGTCGATGAGCACCATTTTCGGATAAGTTCGTGCCGAACGGAATTCTTTATCTTTTTCTGTGTAGACAACCAAACCTCTGAAAAAAAAAATTAATTATTTGATCAATTTGAATAAATAGATCGATCATTCAACATAATTCGAGGATCCAAATTTGCTACAATTGACAGACAGACTTTTCTTAGAAATATAAGTTGATACAATTAGGTCCATACAACACAGTCACAATAATACAGTATATTTCCCACAATACATGAAATGAAGGGCCAGAATGTGCTGAATTCATTTGTCAAAGTTAATAAATGACAAAAAAATAACATTATTGGTAGTAGAGAAAAGGAGAGGAAAAGAGAGAGCATTATTTGTAATCTAGTCATGACTTCACTGAGCATCAAATAAATATCTGAACATTTTAGTCCCGTTCCAACACAGAACAACTGATAGGTGTTCAAAATTTCGAGAAAAATAAAAACAAATCATCTCACCTGTCTCTCATCTGTAATAATTTTTCATCATCTTCTGTCTGCTTCAGACCAAATTCTGTACACTCGGCTTTTATCAATTCCACACGATGTCCACTTTTCAAAGGATATAAATATAACTGCTTCAGAGTGCCAACTTCTTCCCAGGACCAAGGAATAATTTCTTTCTTTTTCTTTTGATAGAGATATACTAACGCAACCGCTGTTGCTACTCCTACTAGCACAGTTGTACCTGTTACTACTTGATATGGAATCATATTGAGTTAGGCCTGTAAGAACAATATAACCAATAAAAATGTGGAGGCCAGTAATAATGATTTAGGTAACCATCGTCACTATTAGCAAATAATAGGGAAGCCCAAGCGGTCTGATTAAGGTAGGGTGAGTTAATTACATGCTGAAAAGTGTATATTCCAGTAATCTGACAGTTTGAGAGTGACGTAAAGAAAGAAAAGGGCAGCAAAGTTGAAAAAAATAACGTTATTTCGACATTCTCGAGCGTAGCTGATTTTTTTTATTTTGAAGAAAATAATTCAAGGATAACGAAATATATATAATCTGACGATTTCCGCAAGCCGAACTTACAAAAATTTGTCGATAAAGTTTAATGCGTGCAGCTGTATGATACCTATATTTCTCTCTCCGAGTTTCTATTTCTCTTTCACTTTTTCTCTATCTATTACTCTCGCACTCCGTTCCCTCTCTGAGCCATGATGCCATCACAGCTGATCACAGAGACTCGTTAGTGATGAAGATGATGATTAATTAATCAATTGATTATAAAAAATTAAATTTTTTTGAGCATTATTTTTAAATTATTTTATTATGAATACATGTATTCTACTTAAAAAACATACTTTTATTTATTTGCGCATGCTATTTCCTGAACTTCCCAATTAATTAAATTTTAATGATTTGAAAAAAAATAAATTTTTTTTTTAGATTTTCTCAGATTAGGCAAATCCCTCTAGATAATCGTCAGATAATGAGAAAGCACGTCTAGAACATAAAGATGAGCGAAATATATCTTAATCTAATATCAATTTATGACTTTTGTAATTTTTCCTAGCACTTCTTCAAAAGCTCTTTCTACGCTTCCTCATATTGGTATTGTTCCCTTATTGACAAATGACTGACAAATAGAGGGTCAAAGACAAGTTGAAGATTTTTGCCCTTCTATATACTTTAAGATGCGGTACAATCTCCCTCCCCCCCGGGTGGAATGGGGAAAGGATTATACCATCGCAATATCGCAATTTATTTAGTCACTAGTCAGTTCTATGTATTCGAGAGAGTTGAGTAGAGAAACAGAATTCGTATTCATAATATCCCATAATTTCTGATGTGACACAAAATTTATACTAAAATACACATCCCGACATATCTCACATCAATGTAATGAGTTCGTCATAGTTAATGTTTACATATGCAGATTCTAGGTACATATAATAAAATTCCATCCCAAAATTTATCTAAAAACTATAGGAATTCAATTGAAAATTTTTTGACATACAGATTTAATGGAAAATACTTTATTTTTTGTTAGTATTGAAAAAAAAAACGGCAATTAAGTGACCTCCAAATGAATAAATTAACAGTTGTGTTTCAACCATCTTCATTTCTAAGTAAGCGTTAATAATTCACGTAATGGTATATGCTCAAACGTCAAACTTATCACTGAAGTGACATTTCATTTTGAAATAGAATATTTCTGAAGAAAAACAAGAGTAAAACATGGTCTTGTGAAGTGGAAACCAATAGATATGCACCACCAGAAATTCATAATGTAACGAAGAAAGTGATATTTTTCAAAAGTTCTTCACTTGATAACAAAATGAAAAATGAGAGTAAATTGAAACTCAAAAAGTTTCTGTCTCAACAACTACATTTTTGTATACATATTCAAATCGCACTGATGGCTTACTTTTTAAATTTTTCCACAACCCGGTTGTCTAGGTTATCTTAACTTTACTCTGATTCGGAATATCCTTCTCAAATGAATTTTATATTTGAATATTCCTGATATAAGACTCAGAAAAACTATAGTATTCCTTTCGGGAGAAATTGTAATTACTCGCTCTAATGATTTGCAATGCTTAACTTATTATCAGCTTAGGCTTGTAGGTTATACAGTAAATGAGCAATAGTAATATAATAAAAGCAGAGATTGATGCCAAAACCAAATTCCGAATAAAGATAATTAGGTTGTTTCAGAAGTTTTGTCCGTTTTAATGTGTTGATGTGTCTTTCTAGCTCCGTATCTCAATTAATATTTATTCTACTGTGTCCTGGTTTATACTGATCGACAGAGAATTTTTACTGGGATTGATGTTGATTATTTTTTCCTCAAATTTTAATTTTTGGCCTCTTTTCAGCTCATTACTATATGATGTCATTGAAGGATTTTCAGTCAATTTTTCTATACGTCCTGACCCATCACAAACGGTGTGTGGAAAGGCGGATGAACCGGATGTCAGCTCCCATGCGGTTTTTGATGGATTAAAACGTATGAGAAAAGTCAGAGAGCTCGAAAAGTGGGGGCAACTCGATTCGAACTATAGTATAGAAAGAAATTGTCACGTTTCGAGGTCTGTTCTTCTTTTCTTTTCCACAAGAGACGTTCCGGACAGTGGTAGGACATCGATGAGCCATCCAGGCACTTCCTATGGGCAAAAACCGACCAAAAAAGACAATGGCTATTATTGTATGGTGGTCAGCGGATGATGTGATTATTCACTATAAAGTTCTGCGACCAAGCCAAACCATTACACCAGAATACTACTGCATTAGCAGTAGTCAGCACTGGTCAACAGAAAAGATTCGATCTCGCTCCACGAAAACGCCCATCCGCACGTTTCACAAAATTAAAAGAATTGAACGTCGAAGTTCTGCCTCACCTACCATACTTCTCAGACCTCTCGCCAACCGACTAGCCTCAGTAGAATCTTTGCCAATCAGGACCAGACAAAAATGGCCTTCATGGACTTCACTCAAAGCAAAATATATTAATCAAATGGCGTTTATTTCGATCAAATTGAATAAGTACTTACCGAGATATTACAGTTTTAATGAACGAAACTTTTGAAACAACCTTATACCTATTTGAAAAAGTCTTGTTTGAAAAAGAAACATCTGAAAGTTTGAAATGACGTTGAACAGACGTGTTTAGTTGAAAATATATCTACAATCACTTATTAAAAAAATTAATGAGTTTTTGCTTTGATTAGGTTTATCAACAGCAGAATTTTTAGAAAACGTTATCTAGTATTTAAAAGAATATCTTCAGCGGCCTGTTTCTCTAACACTCTCTATCAAATTCAGTTACGAGGAAATCAACTCATGTAATTTCTAAAAATGTCACAAACTTCAGGAGAATATTTCTTCAATATTTTCAATTTACTCCTTGTGGGAATTTTTTAGAAAAATACCTCCACGTGGAGATTTGCATCAATTTTTGATATTCGCTGAAATTTCCTGATAGTGCAAATTGATTTGTTGAAAATATATCACATGTTGCAGTTAAGAAGTTCGGGATATTATTATTGATGTGCGCTTCATTGATTTTTATTGTGGTTAATGAAAAGACAGTAGCACAATAATACCCATTAATTGAGAACATATAAAAGCCTCATGATAATATTGACGACTTATTTCAAATGGATACACAAAATTCACTATGGTATGTGCTACAAAAAAATTATAGCGTTATAGAAACACTTGAACTAGTGCTTTTTGTGAATACTATATTCCTAATAATTGGATTAATCCCTGGAAAAAAATTACAGGTCTTTAACTCAACAATGTCAATGAAGAATTCTCAATTGAAAAAATGTTTAATAACTTTATCACAAAAGCATTTTCTACACTTCCCAAGTATTAGTTTCTATGTATATACAAGTAGGATCTATTTTTTGGAATTTTTGTTATTCGAAACAGATAATAAATTTTTTAAATCTTATGATAAGCTAATATAATTTTCAACTCGCGATCACATGATGTATATCATAAATTCACCAAATCAATAAAATATATTAATATTTACATTTCCTATCTCACGTTTTTTCATCAATGATAGTCTATTTGATATTTTATTATCTATAATTTTGGACATTAATTACTGATAAAATTCATTGATAATTACTTACACTAACGATTCCCGGTCAACTTATCACTTACTGGTATCTACTATCTCCCATTCTATGTTTCATTGTTTACTTAGCGTGAAGCACGTGATGAATGTCAGACCGTCAAATGTTAGCCGAACATTTGCAAACGTATCGTATGAGCCGTGTCTAATACCATGGTAACGTGACTTTTTAGTAAATTGGATGTCAGATTTCTACTGTCGACCTGTTAAACATAATCATGTCCCACGCAAATTTCGAAACTTTAAGAAAGTTAAATAAAAATAACTGAGAAATGAAAAAAATATCAACGAGAAGTAGAATTGGAACTTTGTGAATGCATTTATTTTCGCGGTTCACTTCAATAATAAATTTTTCCTAATAACTTAAGTTTTTTTTCTGAGTTTTTGAGGTGCTGCATAAATTTCCTTTGAAATTGAGAGTATTTCATACTCTTCTAGGAAAACATCAAAACACCATTACCGACTTTCTTTCAATCTAAGAAATGTACATGTTTTTTTTAAGGACAGAACACAAGCACTACATGAAAATCCTTGAGGTGATCTAAGAGCGGTGCCTATGCGAAAGTAGCGATTCACGTTGGATTTGAGTCGCTGATGGAGAATAAATTCATTTTGAAAAACGTTATCAGGAAGTTTATCTCACATAAACGCTGTTCCCCAAATGAAAGAGTTCTTGAAAAGTAAAGTTCTAGGTGTACTGAGTTGGAACTCAAAACTATGAGCAGCCACAGTATGTCGCGTATTTCTGATATCTGTTTAAAAAAAATCTGTTTAAAATCTGTTTTTCCGTTAACCAGCCGTCGCACCCCTACGAACGACAACCCTCAGAAGTTGAAACTTGTGCGAGCTGAGGATTAACGAGGTCTTACCTTTTAACGTGTGATTCCTAACACGGGTTGGACGGTAGCAAGTGAAGATCGATCGTTCAGACTAGGGTTTGAACCACCGACCAACACGGCAGTCAATTCGAGTGAGTGAACAAAGCACCCACGCCGAACCGCTTGGCTACCGACTGACCGGTAGATATGTATCGCTCTTGGTGGAATCAAATGTGCCAAATCACTTGAACACCCCCCGTTATAGTATCTATAGAAAAGAGAAATCTCCAAACTTTCTTCGATGTTCCAGACTATTAAGGTTGCAAGTGATATTCTTGTTCGTAATTAGGCGGATGGATCTTTTCTGATTGGAATCCAGCTGCTTCAGGGTATGCTTGGATGCGGAGCTCCGTATATGAAAAAAAATACTCCAAAGAAGGTCTGATCTGAGCTTTATAAAGCATCAAAAGTTCAGAACAAAGGTCCAAGAATTTGAGAAACAGCATTTTCAATTCCAGCGACATAATTGTGCCGACATATTGGTGTCCATTTCAACCTCCAACAAACTTAGTGAATCAGGAAGCGGAATTGTCTGACCTAACGTTAATATATCCGGTTTGGAGACATTTATCTTCTTGGATAATACTGATACCTGGTTTTCTGTGGCATTGAATTGAATTGAATTCACCTCAATCACAAAAATGCTTATAGGTACCTACCCTACATAGTAAGTGCCTTCTGGGTTCTACAGTCAAAAGAAGATCATTCCAGCTGTATATTTTTCATGGATACATGTTCTGTCAATGTATTAACTCGACTGAATTTGTGGTCAATGAATGAAGGGTTTGTTATTTTACAAGCTTTTATTCAATTTGCATACACGTTGCATACACGCGTGACTTTGTACATACAATATGGTGGATCGGCTAAAATGGCGGACTAGGTATTTCTTATTCACTCTCATGATATGGACATTGAATGACAAGGCACTCCAAATTCAGTATGGCGAACTCCTGAAGATGTTACACTGTTTTTTTTCATCCCAATAATATGTATATCAGATAAACTGGTTTGAGACTGAATTGAAAATGACGGAAAACAAGTTGGTCATACCAGTTAGAGGTATGACAGATTAGAGATTAGAGATTAAGGAGCATGTCCAGCAATAAGTAAAATATAAATTGATACAAGAAAAAAAAACGAGTCACTTCTCAAACTTCTGATAGAAGATTGAGATAAAGGAGCGAATATATCAAAAATTGTATCGTTCAAAAGTTTTGGATAACAATACATTAGGCTCATTTGATATGTATATTCTACAATATACAGGATACCCAGTAGAAACATGGCATATCAAAGTCGCATTTTGTCAAATAAAATGAAACATAGAATACAAAATATGAGCTTAAATGGCTAGATACCAAGCCGTGCAGAAATTATTCTGAAAATAACGTGGAGAAATCGATATTTTCAATGAAAATCGATTTGGAAAGTATTTTGTTGTGAAGATTTTTCAACAATGTGTGTTTTTGCCATTATCGAATGATTGATTGACCCAAAACCTTCTTTCTAATAGATAATGAATGAATCCAAACACGGAAATATTTTTTTCCTGAGTATTTCAATATCTTATTTTACATTTGACTCCATCACGCGGATAGTACGTTATAATTTTTCACATGAATTTTAAAATTTTTACATTATAAACACAAAACATATCTGCATTATATGGTAATATCTATTCCAAGTCATACATTAGTATAACTTCACTGATACGTAAGATTAGACACGGTCCAAGGTCGACTGAAGGCCATGCTAGCTTCTCATCACAAAATCAATTACAAATACTATGATCCACATTATTCTTTCATATTACTCATTTTGAAGTTGTCCACAACGGGTTATTTTCAAATCATTATTTGAAACAAGTGAATTATTTCTTGATAATAATTACTTAAACAAGGCAGCTCATGGTGCAAGATTCAATTTCCAGCAACCATGAATGAGATTGGTTGCATTGCTGGTTGTGTTCCTCTGGAATCTGTATCTGTTATTCTCCACTCTCCATTCACCTGTTGCTCCGCCCACCCATTCAACGTCATCGTATTTGAAAAGAACTTGCTCTGACTCTGGCTTTCGCGCTGGCTAGGTAAAAGCCAGATCGTGCGACTCGAGTCTGTCATCATATTGTACATAGCACGTTAAACGTGAAATTGCCAGCGAGTTATTTTAATAAAATGGATGTGAATTAGTGTCGAGTCCGGTCTGGAAACTAAGAAAATGTGCTCAGTCAGTCGACCAAGAATGAAGTCACTGAGAATGGTGTAGCTTGATATTTTTGTGATTGTCTTATTGTTATTTGTGTACCTGTGTATCGTCTGACTACCTGTCTCTTTTCAATTATGGGGACCCATTGGCTATTCTGTGTCTTGTTTATTGCTTTCATTAAGGTATGTGTACTATGTTAGCGTATTTTGTTTTGTTCGTGTTGTGTAGCGTTTGCAACTAGTTAATAATTTTATTTCAGTCTTTTTGAAATGCTATTCATAGTAGCTGGTAGCTAGTCAAAAGTCATCACAAGAAATTTGCCAAAAACCAAAAGACGACGTTATTTTAATCAAAAAGTTTTTGCCACTCAAATAACAACTATGTACCGACTAGGACTGAAATAGCTCAAATTGCCATATCATGTCCAAAATAATGTTTTATATACCTAATTATATGATTTCCTACGGGTTAAGCATCATGTTTACATTATTATTGGTCATCAAAATCGTAAATATTATTTTAGATAGATTCTACTTGATTATCAAATCAGGTTTTTATTTTTTTGACAGTTATTGTGTTCTCTGCTTGAGATCGCACATTAAACAATAAGACCCTGTTCAGCATTTCTGAGGATTAAACAGTTTTCAGTCAGTTGGGCATTTATTGCTACACAATAAGTCCATTCTATTGTACAGTGTGAAAGAGCCAAATGGAATAAAATCATTTTTATATTCACTGTGCTTATTTATGAAAGAAAATACTGAAATTGGAACGTCAATTTCAGACGTTTTAAGTGTAAGCTAGTTCATTTCTGAAATTTACATCTTCAGAGTGAAGGTTGCCTGCAAAAATCTAGAAAAAATCATATCATCTGATTGAAATGATTAACAACTATAGTGTATTGAGAACTTAATAGATATAACTCCTAGCAGGGTCGCCCTTAAAACTTTTTGCTACCTTGATAAACATAAATTTGGTGTCGTCCCGCCCAAAGAAATCAAGGAAAATACAAAAGAAAGATCTTATTGAAAATTCGAACAACTTAGATTAACGTTTCATTTCGTGCGATAAAGCTCAACTTGTTATTTCACTAAAAAATCTGCTGCCCTGCACCGACGAGGAGTAATGTTCCGATGATTCGATTAATTTCAGAGAGAGTCATCTGCATGACTTTCCTCTATGAAGAAACTTGCACGAATGTCTGTCGGATATAATTGAATGTCCATCGGAGTATTAGCCGGGGAATCGGTTACTTTCTGTCAATCATTTTCCAGATCTGGGAGAGGTGAATGTTTCTAATTTCATTTCTTACTCACCTGTTATATATTCAATGTATGAAAAAAAAAGGAAAAGGAATAATGTTACGTTCACAAAATTCACTTGCTTGATTATTTAGTTTTCATATCTCATTGGCTGAAAATCAATAGCAAGAAATGCATTGTTCTAGAGGAACATTCCGTCAGACGTTTACCAGACCCTACTGTGTAGGTAGTTGGGAGTTAATATTCTGAAATTCATTTTGAAAGTAAAGTAACTACCACTTTTATCCAAATATTGTGAAAATTTTCGCCCAAAAAATTTCTCATAAAAATATGTCGTTTGCATCAGCCACATGTATGTTTTCCTGAATAGAGATTGTCGTCAAATTGGTAATCACCGAGAGGTTGACATCTCTTTCAGTAGGTATACATCTCCCGAGATATCCCCATATATACAGTATTTCAGTTTTGTTACAATTATACTAAGTGACAAAAAAGGTAAACACCCATTTATTTTGAAAATATTTCAATAATGTTTTGCATGTGTATATATGTTGAGGCAAGTAAAAAGCCAGTAAAATTTGAGTCGTATCGGAAGCTATTCTGACCAAGTTCATCAGTTCGGACTTCCATTGTCTGATATTATATAAAATGATTTGAAATCTCTGAAAGAACTAATAAAAAAGGAATATTTAAAAAGAATAGCTGAAAATAACAATTATATTAAGTAAAAAAAAATTGAAATGATATAATAGTGAAATGAAATACAAGTAAGATTCCGTCATCCTTTTTTTTTGTATCAAATGGAGTAGTAGAAAGTCAAACCTTTCTTTCCCAAAAATTAATCACTCCTAAAAATATAACCCCTTCAATTTAAAAATAGAACAATTGAAAAAAATAAAAATATAAATATAAAGTTGAGAGATTCCAAGCCAAGTTACTTCACGACGTTTCGATTGTTAGTATCCACAATCGTCTTCGGGTGATGACTGGACTGATTCCTCCAAGAGATGACTATTTATGGGTCTTTAATTTTTCCGCTTCACCGGTTTAGTGGTAGATAACCGTTTGGCGGGAGTTAGCCATTTTTCGCTTGATTATGGGTTTCCATATGTTGCGTATCTTTACGCTAGCTTGGCTGAATACATTGTTGGACAACATGTATGCGGCTTCTTTGAATTTTCTCCTAAACCAATGTTTCTCATAAAATATGATCTGCTATTCCTGATTTGCTGGTTTCCCCTCGCTGTGTGTGTTTCTTGTGCTCGGCAATGCGAACATTCAATGGCATCTTAGTTTCACCGATATAGAATTTTCCGCACTCACAGAGTATCGGGTAAATGCAATGCTTGGAATCGCAGTCCGCGTTTGGTGGCCTGGTTTTCGTGAGGCTGCTACGGATAGTGTACTTGAATCCAATTCTTCTTATCCTTTCCGATAATCCTTTGATGTAGGGAAGTGTAAGCATTGGTTGTGACGGTTTCTCTTCCTTGGGAGGCTCCTGATGTCTTTTAGCCAAAGTGTGTTCCACCATCGCTTTGGAGTAGTCATTCCGTTGAAGATCATTTTTGATGACGTCTAGTTCCTTCTCAAGACCTTCCTTCGTATTACAGAGCCTTAAAGCACGGTCTAATAGAGTTTTGATGGTTACTCTTTTAGTCGATTGATGGTGGTTGGATTCGTGGTTCAGATATTGTCCCGTGTGAGTGGGTTTTTGGTATACAGATGTTTCCCACTTAGTGTCGGTCCTCTTCACCAGTACGTCTAAGAATGGCAATTCGTTGTGGATTTGCTTCTCCATTGTGAAAGTGATGGAAGGTCTTTCGCTGTTGATGTGTTTCAGGAAGGCGTCTAGTTCAGTATTCCCATGGTTCCATAATATGAAGGTGTCGTCAACGTATCTCAACCAGACACGAGGTTTCTTGTGGGCTTCTTCAATGGCGAGAGTTTCAAACCACTCCATATATATGTTGGCTATCACTGGTGAAAGTGGTGATCCCATTGACAGTCCCTCATCTTGTGTAAAGAATTCGTCCTCCAGTTGGAAATAACAGTTTCGTACACAGCATCCTAGTAATTCCTAAATTACCTCTACAAGTAAATTCGTTCTATCTTCCAGGTCCCTGTCTTCAGAAAGCTTCCTCTGTATGATTTGGAGTGCTTCTTCGACCGGAACGTTGGTTCAAAGGCTTTCCACGTTGAAACTGATTAGTTGGTTTTGCCGTTCACCGAAACCGTTCACTATTGATGGCTGCCAAACAAATACTAAACAACGCAGCGTCTTCAAACTTGAAACATATGCTTTATAGATTGTGTACTTTCTAATACAACTACCGCCATCTCTAGGTCAGGCCGGGTATTTCTGGGACCTCCCTCATACACCAATGATTTCGGGTGGACATTTGCGGAAAATTTTCTCATGAAAGTTCTCGCTAATTTTAATAGAGTGATTCATGAGAAGGTAAACAATGGGATGTTTGTAATAAGACCTTTGTCCCGGTGCATATTTCTCATGCCACACTTCACAAATTCCAGACTTTCTTAAGCATTCAAAAATCTAGTTTTATGTACCGATCCCGATAATTTCAGAGCGACATTAGATTTCTCTGCGTCTTCTTTGAAACGAGTTTTAATGGTTCGCTTTGTCTGACCCATATATTTGTTGGCACAGTCCTCATAGCTTATTCCATATATCCCTGAACTTTTACTTTCCAACATCTTGTCGTTGGGGTTACCTAACATTTGTTGAAGTGAGCAAGAAGTTTTGAAGGCTATTTTCACGTTAAATTTTTCGAATTATAACGTCTTTGTGGTTGATACAAGATGACATGATTCATGCTTTTTCTTAAGAACTCTTCAATGAGTTTGAAATGACGTGAATAATTAATGAGTGGCAAGAAGGTCGGCAGTTTTTAATAATACGGAATGTTGGCCTTTTTCGTTCTTACATTCATTAAGCTCCGTTCTTCATTTTCTGAATGGATTACCGCTCTTTTTTCCAAATTCACATATAACATTTTTGATTATCGTAATTTATGAAAACAGACGATACAGAAGAACTCGCAGAAGAATGAAAAGAAAATTTCACCCAAAACTTCCACAAGTCTAAAACTAAAAAAAATTATAAATATTTCAGTTTCACAGAACAAAAGCGCTGTCTTCGACGCGCGTTTCGCTAGACAAGTTAGCATCATCAGGAGATGACTGAAAACTAATCATCAAGTAATGGAGTGATAACCTCAACTTGACATATAACCCACGTCGTTGGCAGCAATTTTTTAATGTGTCATGTTTCAGTTAGTATATACACGGCGCTACAAACCATGATATGAAAAAAATAGTTTTTCGCAAACCTTCAATTGAATTAATTAATTTGAAAATTTGAATTGAGGATCAGATTAGAACAAAAAATATAAACTTTAATTTGGTCAGAGGTATTAACATATCTTGCAAAAATTGTTTTCTGTAGTTTTTATGGTAATACTGCTTCGTTATTCTCAGTTATGAAAAAGTAAACTGGGTTCAAATATTAATGATTTTACGAGTATTATCATTATTTGAAAATGACTCTGTGAATAATAACTAAAAAAATAATGTAATAATGAAATGATACCTCACTGAGTCAATTTTGAGTTTTAATATTTATTAAGTCAATTGAAGGATTTTTTGGAATTTTCTCATTTCTTTCAAAGTATTTTCCGTCTAAATTAATTATGAACTTGACAAAAATTGACATTATTATTATTTTCTAATCAAAATACCCACCTAGAAAATATCCACCTGGGTATTTTTCAAAAACCATATACTTTCAGCGAATAATAGCCTATATCAGGACCCTTTCTGGGTGATTATGATGCTTTTCTTAGTTTATAAAATTACCTGTGAAATTACCTGGGAATCGCTGAATAATCCAAAAAAAATTC